GTCTACTAAAGCTGTTTACAATCTCAATCCCTTCAGCATTTATCATGATGCTACCAATCGATCCAGTGGTGAGAATGTTTGTTTTCTTGATATTGAGCTTCAATCCATATTGAAGGCTGTAGTCCTTGACCTTCTGCTGCAAGTGCTTCAGGTTCTCAGTTTCCGCAAACCGAGTTGTATCATTGGCATACCACAGAGTGTTGGTGAGTCTTCCTCCAATCCTGATGCCACATTTCTTCTCATAGAGTCCAGCCTCCTGGATTATCTGTTCTGCACATAGGTTGAACAGGTATGGAAATAGCACACATCCCTGGAATCCTTCCCAATTTTGAACCATGCAGTGTTTCCTTGCTCAGTTCTGACTACTGCCTCCTGGTCCAAGTATAGATTTCACATAAGCACAATCAAGTGTTCCGAGATTCTCATTCTTCTCAGAGTCAGCCACAGTTTGTCCATAGTCAAATGGCTTTGCATAGTTACTGAAACACAGACAGACATTCCTCTGCAACTCACTGCTTTCAGCCAAGATCCATCTAACATTATCTACAATATCTCTGGTACCACGACCCCATCTAAACCCAACCTGCACTTCAGGCAATTCTCTGTTGATATGCCAGTCATTTTTGGATGATCTTCAGTAGAATCTTGCTTGCATGTGATATTAATGATATTGTTGATAATTTCCACACTCTGTTGGATCACCTTTCTTTGGAATGAGAACAAAGACATATCTCTTCCAGTCAGTTGGTAAGGTGGTTGTCCTATAGATTTCTTGGCACTACTTCTTGAACATATCAAGGGCAGCGTCTGTTTGTTGAAATATGCCAGTTGGTATGCTGTCAATTCCTAGGGTCTTGTTTTTTCCAAATCTTTCAGAGCAGCTTGAACGTCTTCCTTTATTACTACAGGCTCTTGCTCATATATTTCTTCATGAAATTCTTCTGTGTCAACCAATTCTTTTTGGTACAGTGAATCTGTATACTCTTTCTGTCTTCTTTTAATGCTTCGTGGATAATTTAATATGCTACTCAAAGCATCCTTAAGTATTGCAACTCAAGGCTTTGGCTATTAGTAGTCCTGTACATTCCTAACTTGCATTGTTGTTACTGTTGGGTGTCACGGAAGTGAGTGTGACTCAGAGTGATCCTAATGAACAGCTGATCTGAACCTTGTCCAATCCTATACCGTATTCACAATCTCTGACATACTTGATTCCATTGTTTCATCAATTCATCTGGTTGAGCATCTTCCTCTCTTTTCCTGTCCTATCTTTCCAATATGGTGTTCCTTGCCAAGGAATAGTCTCCCTTAGCAATATACTCAAAGTATGTGAGACAAATATTCATCATCTATGCCTCCAAGGAGCACTCTGTCATCACCTTTTCTAAGACATATCAGTTTGTTCTTTTGGCAGTCCATGGAAATTCAGTATTCTTCTACAACACTATAGTTCAAAAGCATGAATTCTCCACCTGCCATCCTTATTCATTGTCCAGTTCTCAGAGGCATAGCAAGTGATTGAAAAAGAACATGGCCTGAATCAGGTGTACCTTAGTTCTCAAACTGACATAATTGCATCCTAATAAATTGGAGGGGGACCTGATTGCAGATTTTCCTAATGGAATCCATTCTGTTCAGACCTTATAAATTAATTTGAATGTATCTAAAACACAAGTTGTTATTGCAACTTTTGGTTTTCCTATTTCTGTTAATGGCAACAACATTTTAATGGACAGCTACCTGAAAATTCCTCTTCACTTGAGTTTCTATGAAGAGGTGTGTGGCATCAGGATTGGAGGGAGACTCTTCAATAACATGTGTTATGCAGATGACACAACCTTACTTTCTGAAAGTCAGGAGGACTTGAAGCACTTGTTGCAGAAGATCAGTATGAATTACAATTCAATATCAAGAAAACAAAGATTCTTATCATTGGACCAATAAGCAGTGTCATGGCAGATGGAGAGGAGATTGAAACTGTCAACAACTTCATCTTGCTTGGATCCACAATTAAAATCCTTGGTACCAGCAGTCAGGAAATAAAGAGATACATTGCACTGGGAAATCTACAGTTAAGGATCTCTCCAAATTGAGGAGTAATGATGTCAGTTTGAGGACTAAGGTGCGTCTGATTCAGGCCATGGTCTCTCTGGTTATTTTCCATGCATCTGAGAGCTGTACAATGAATAATGATGACAGAAAAAGAATTGAGACCTTTGAGCTGGGGTGTTGGAGAAGAACACCGAACATCCTATGGATGGCCAAGAGAATGAGGAGATATGTCTTGGAAAAGGTGCAGCCTGAGCGCTCTTTGGAGGCAAGAATGTGAAGCTTTTCCTCACATACTCTGGGCATGTTGCTAGAAGGGGCTGTTACTTGCAGAAGGACATGATGCTGGGAAGAGTGGAGGGTCAGCAAAGGAAAGGAAGACCCTCAACGAGGTGGACTGACATGGTGACTGCCACAATGGACTCTTGTGCATCAGGAAGTGTGAGGATGGATAAAACAAGATAAAATAGGATTTAGATCTTTTGATAATAGGGTCACTGTGAGTCATACTCGACTCATGGCATCTAACATCAACAACAAGCTGAAAACTGCAGCATTCCACCCTTACTTGATCTTCATGCTTATTCCTTATACCGACTATTGTTGCCGTTATCTTCCTTCAGGTTCTAATTATCTCTCGCCTATGCAAGTGCACTAGCCTTCTAATTGGTCTCTGTTTTTCTTTATGGCCTTCTTCAATTCATTATACTCAATTCTATTATAATAGTCTTCTTAAAGTAGGGCTCCGATCACATTAACCTTTTCTTCTTTTTAACATAAAATCATTTAGTAGTTTCCTATTATAAAGAAGATGAAATACCAATTCTTAGACTGGTATTCAAAGATTTCTGCAATGTAGTATCCATATTTCCAGTGTCATGCACTATTCCTTGGAGAGGGGCAGCATGTTTAGAAAGGATCAGGAAAAGACACTTGATGAGATGAACTGATATAGTGATTGCAGCAATGGGCTCAAATGTGTCAGAGATGATGAGGATGGCACAGGATAGGGCAAAGTTTAGATCTGTTGTTCAGAGGGTCGCTATGAATAGAATGTGACTGATGACACCTAACAACATATTAAATTTTCTCTTATGCCATTCTCTATTACTTGCAAGTCCTGAAACATGCTTCCTGTTTTCACGTTTTATGCCTGCTGTTCTTGTTGCTGTGTACTATCGGGTTGGAACTAACCCATACATGTTGTTCTTGTTGCTGTGTACCATTGGGTTGGAACTGACCCATATAGGTTGTTCTTGTTGCTGTGTACCATTGGGTTGGAACTGACCCATTCATGTTGTTCTTGTTGCTGTGTACCATTGGGTTGGAACTGACCCATACATGTTGTTCTTGTTGCTGTGTACCATCGGGTTGGAACTGACCCATTGCTGACTTTCTGGTGGGACAGTTATCACATGGGAGGAGATTGCCCATCCTTCTCCTGAAAAGTAGCAGGTGGATTTGAACTGCATGCCTTTGGGATTGCAATGCAGCTTCTTAAAATATCTTCACCAGTAAAACAATTAAGGCCATAGTTTAAAAACTATAATAAACACTAAGACTTCTTTTAGTGTGCTCTTGAATCCTCCCAAAGTGCAGTGTTTTATAACTTTGAATTCACTATATTTATATGTACTTCTTTTTAAGATATCTGCTTTATAGTGAGATTTTCCAAGAAATTATGTTTCTCTTTTATATAATCCATAGGTTTTAGTGTAGATTTATGGACCTATCAGAAAATTAGCAACTAACTATTGACTTTTTCTTACAGAACTGGTAGATGTGACAAACAGTAAAATAAATGGCATTATCTTGTTTAAATTTGGAAATCAGGTAAAAATTAGCTAAGGATAAAATATAACATTTCTTTTTTTCATAAACCTACAAACTGGTCTTTGAGAAAACGTCAGATTCTTATGTGCTATGTTCTTCATGAACAACCAATTTACACAGTCATTTCCCACCTGACATTCAAAAGGGTATGATTCTGGGTAACCGCAAGAGGAACTTTTCAGTGAAAAAGAAGCTAATTTGGTCTTACTATGTTCAAATGAAAGCAAGCCAAAGACAGCAAAATTTGACCAGGTATAGGCAGAAAGATCACTGTCTAAATTGTGTCATTGGTCTTTTGTATGGAAGGTAAGGTGTTCAGGACTTTAATGCTGAGAAAACCTGCTATACACATACCTCAAAGTAAATTCTTGGAGAAAAAACTGCCCTACCATGTTGAGATTGAAGTCTCTAAATCTCTTAGCAGACGTTATAGCTAGCCTAAAAAAATGTAAATGAAAACACCTAGGGATTTTTAGAAATATATAAACCAATGCAGAATGTTCAGACAGCACTGACATAAAATATTCCGGCTTTTGTTTCCCCTTATGGCTGTGTTTCCATGGTACCAAGCTCGGACTGTCTAACAGACATGAGGCTGCGATTCTGAAAGACATTGCTTTCTTTTATAGCAGAACACTAATCCATGCTGGTTTAATTGCACCACTTTTTCAATTATTTTCTTGATATTTTTTATCAAGAATTATTGTGTTAAATTAAGCTTGAAAAATAAATGCAGACAGCCATAAAGGCACATAATGCACATTCAAACAGTTCTTCATAGCTGAATATAGAGCAGAAATATATGCAAACATTAGACTTGTATGTATCAAATTATGCACACTTATGTGCACATAAAACTTTCTTTATACATATATCATTTAAATATTGATACCTATATGTTAATGAATAGGTTATTGACGTGATGCAGGGTTTCAAAAGAAAAACACATCATATAGCGTTTCAGTTTTGGGGGTCATGCTTTTATGTAATTGAAAACAATCCTTATCTTAAATTGAGACTTTGTCTGTATTGAAAAAAACAGCCAATCATAGACAGTCCAACTGCTTCTATAGATGGTATTACAGACTGGAAAATATGGTCATATTTCTCAATCTTACTTGTTGCTGGAAGAAATCAGAGGGCAAGCACATTGCCGGCAATCATTTGGCAATCCCTTGACAATTCCATAGTATCCATGAGCACAGTGTTGACAGAAGTCACCAGCAGTGTGATGTTGGCAGTTCTGTAAAGAAGAGACTTGTTTTTAATATAACAAAATTTAGGATGAAACTTATGGTACAATTCCCCATACCAGTGCAGAAGTATAAACACAAATCCACAGAGTCACTGGTATAGAACAGGGTTTCGATACATAAACCTTTAAAGATACTCTTTCTTTGAGAACCTAGTACTGTACCAAAGTAGCTACATTGACATTAAGAGTTTCTGTTCTCATTTTTCTACGTCAACTGTTATGTAAATTTTCTCTTACTACATATTTGGGAGTAGACTTCAAGGTTTTCTACAATTTAATATGTTGTTTTGTATTGTCAAGTTGGAATTGACACATAGCTCAACTTCCAGCAGGTTTTTAGAGGTAGTAAATGGCACAGGTGGAAATAGCCCATCATTTTCTCATGAAAAGATAGTAGATTTGAACTGCAAACCTTTGAGTTGGCAGCACAGTTCTTTGCCATTAATACTAATTTATGATCTTCTCATCCCAGGTTTTATATTCATGAGGTCTTAGGGGGGAAATAGATCAGAAAAACTGCAGTTTGGCACGTTTCTCAATACCCATTTGTAGAAAGCAAATTAAGGTGAAAAGGATAAATGTTTTAAGAGGTAATAATAGTTAAAAAGGTCATCCTAGCTATCACATTAAAAACGATTTTTATTTCTTGCCGACAGTTGATAGTTCTTCATAGACAAAAAGGGACCAGTCCTAAATTCATAATCTCATATCAGAATTTTCTTTTTTGTACTTGCAAAAGAGATAGTTGAGCAATATGCCTTTTACATTCTGCAAAGAAATGAGATTTGTTTCAAAAGGGTGTGTAAATACTGTTTTCACTGTTGTTAGGTGCTGTCTACTATGAGTCAAAGCGATCCTGTGGACAGCATATCTGATTCCCTGCCCTACCCTGTGGCCGTTCTCATCAGTTCTCATATACTTATGCCCAGAGCTGCAGTCACTATATCAATCATTTGGCTGAGGGTCTTCTTTTGACCCTTCCATGCATGATATCCCTTTCCAAGAAACACCCTCTCCTAATAAAATGCCCAAAGTATGTGTGACAAAGCTATGTCTTCTTTGCCTGATAAGAGTATTCTGGTTGTCCTTTCTCTAGGACATATCTGTTCTTTTGACAGTCCATAGGACATTTAGTATTCTTATATAATACCTAAACTCAAAGGCGTCAATTCTTCTGTCATCTTTATTCATTTTCCAGCTCCCAGATGCATAGCAATTATGTAGTATTGAAATTAAAGTTCTAATACACAGAAGCTCACTGGTGTTAAGACTGACTCACAGATGATCCTCTTCGGGGTCTTAAGCTGTATATCACATGAAGGGCGCTTGCTCATCTTTCTCCGAAGGATGTCTGTCTGGTGAACTTTTACCCCAGAGAGACATGACCTTCGGATTCCAGAGCAACTCCCTACAGACTTAACACAACAATATCCATTCTGTTAGGTCTTATGTGGCTTTATATGTAAGAAAGCTACTGAGAGGAACAAAAAAAACAGCATCTTCTCTGATTATGTCTACTTTAGTAAAAAGAAAAATCAGTATGAGGCATGGCCCAAATAAAGCAATATTGACATTTTGTTTATTGGAAAATTAATCTTTGGCTTTAGAGTTTCAGAAAAAATAGAAAAAAAATTTAGTTAGACTAAATTTGGAATGGTCAGAAAGTTGACTTATTTCTAAACTGTATCAAAATATATAAATTGAATACAAAAAAATTCAGTAACAAAATAGATGTAAATGTTATTGATCTGACCAAATCAAATGAGCTGGAGCCACAGAGCCATCTGCAGGATCTATGTTGAACTTGGAAGATATTCTGTTTGCCAGATTCTTTGCTTCATTCAGCCAGTCACTGTGTGACCTCTCATGGCCGTGAGTTGTATAGTGTATATGCATTGACACCTTCATGACAAATTATGAATGAAATAACTTCTACCACAGGTATAGTGATGGGATTTACCACCTGTACTATTGTTTTGGGTTTTTTTTTTTCTTTCCAACCCTACTTAGAATGTCTAACATTTTTTTTGAGATTTGATGCCATTATCTGGATTGAAACAATGACACTGAAATGATGAATTTTAGTCCACTGAACTTTCAGTTTTATATTAAAAATACTATGTATTTAAAACATTGTGAAATGGATCTAGATCTCCAGTGTAACAGGGTATAAACCACAACATTCCTATTTCTCTTCCTTGTACATAGCAGGTGATTGCCCAACTTCTCTGCCCTCACCTTTCAGAGAGAAAGAGAAAAGCCCAACCGCCTGCCAACACCTTATTGTATATTCCCCTTGACTCCTTTCAAACCGTTCACTACTTCACTGCTTATATTCCTTTCCATGAATGTTTACTTTCTTCTCCAGTAATTGGTGTTTTGTCCGTTATTTAAATTTATTCTCTTTCTTTACTAGGGTCCTCTCACCTTCCAGCTTTCTCCACCCCCTTAAACCCCCGTATTCACCCCCCACTCTCCCATGTATTCAAACTTTCTACCTGACTTATTCACATTTAAGGTCAGTCAAGCATCCCCCCCCCCTTTTTTTTATTAAAAAGAAAAATCTCTGGGATCTCAAGTTTCTTGTCAACTTTCATTATGCTGTTGATTTTTTGGTTATGAGAAACGTGGTTTCTGCTGACATTTTAAAAAGTAGTTTTCTGTATTCCTAATCTCTACTTCCTCATCTCCTATTCTTCTGATTCTACTCGTGAGATACTATTCTAGGACCATTTACAAGGCATTTGATGCTAACAAAAATTTAATGACAACCAAAAGTTGTCATGTGGCTTTTCCACAGCAGACATTTCTGTTACTCTTTCTTGGAAATGTTCTGTTTCCTGTTTTTTGGATTGTAAAATCTGTTTTTTCTTTTGTCTTTATGGATAGTATCTTTTAATATCTTTAATGAACACTTCTCTCTCTCTCTGTATAGTAATATTGGAGGCTTTGATTTTCATATTGTTGTTGTTGTTATGTGCCATCGAGTCACTTGTGACTCATAGTGACCCTATGTATAACAGCCCTAAATTCATCTTTTCCACACTATATATTAATTTATTGTCATTGTTGTTATGTGTCCTTCAGTTGGACCTGAGTCATAGCTGACTCTCCAGTGGATTTTCAGAGGCTGTAAATTCCAAGGTAAGGGGAAGATAATTTATCTTTCTCATACATCAACTCTGAGACTAATTTGTACCTGATCCAGGCTATAGTCTTCACAAATGCTTGCTATGTGTCAGAGAGCTGGACAAAGACCAGGAATGATAGATAATTGATGCTCTTGAGCTGTGGTGCTAGAGAAGAGTATTGAATATACCATGGACGGCTAGGAGAACAAACAGGCTCATCCTGGGTAGAATGAGATCAGGCTGCTCCTTAGCGGCAAGTATTCTGAGGCTTCGTTTGATATACTTTGGGCATGTTTTAAGGAAGGAACAGTCCTTGGAGAGGAACACCATGCTTTGAAGGGTAGAGGAACAGAAAAAGAGAGGAAGACCATCGATGAGATTCAGTGACTGGGTAATGAGGGTAGGTGTGTCAGAGACATTAATGTTGGCACAGGATAGAGCAGGTTTCAGGGCTATTGTACATGAGGTTGCTATGAGTCACAAACAACTTGATGGTGCATAACAACAAAAACACATTTGGAACAGCTGTCAGATTTGAACTGCACTCCTTGGGGTTGGCAGTGCAACTCCTCACCACTAGACCACCAGAGATGTACAATGGCAGCCATCCAACCAACTAATCACCCACCATACTTGCAACTTAGATTCCCCTCTCATCTCAGGCAGACATCTATGTCATCAAGACCCAAGATCCCTTTTCTTTGTTTTTCTCTTTTAAAATGTACCTTTGTTTGTGTGGTTTTTTTAAAAAATATTTTATACTAGTTTACTTACAAAGTTTAAATGTATATTTTTCACACAGAATATTTCCCATTTCCTTCTCCCCCTCACAATCAAATTGTGCGACCCTATGATTAAACCACCTTCCACCCATCCTCATTTCTCTGCTCCCCCCCTCCCTCATACCTTGGATCCTCATACTCATTCTACAATAATGATTTTATACAGTATTTATCCTTATGGGACAGAGTTAGTTTACTCTCTCCAGTCTGTTCCAAGTTAGGCAGCAATTTACAAAATTATTGCTCTTGTGTGCTGCGTAGTATTCCATTGTGTGAATGTACCATAATTTCTCAATCCATTTGATTGTGGTTGGAAATTTGGGCTATTTCCATGTTCTTGTGATGGTGAGCAACACTGCTATGAACATTGGTGTACAAGTCTCCATTTGTGCCTCAGTTCTTATACTCTCAGGGCATATTCCAAATAGCAGAATAGCTGGGTCATATGGAATTTCTATGTTCAGCTTTTTTAGGAAGCACCATACTGCCTTTTAGAGTGGTTGTACCTGTTTACAATTCCACCAACAATGTAGAAGAGGTCTTATCTTCTCACATCCTTTCTAACATTTATTACTTGCTGCCCTTTTAAACTTTGCCACTGTTATTGGACTGAGGTGATATCTCATTGTGGTTTTGATTTGCATCTCTCTTATTGCCAGTAATTTGGAGCATTTCTTCCTACTTCTGTTGGCCATTAAATATTTTCCACTGTGACTATTCTTTCCATGTCTTTTGCCCATTTTATAATTGCCTTAGCATTTTATTGAGTTATTCGTAAGGTGTATCTAGGCTTCCACTCAATAACTTCTATATGTATTATTCAGTGGCATTGATTATATTTTCCATATTGTATCAATATTCTCATTATTTCTATTCTTATTGTCTCATGTACATTATTTTTGCTTCCTTGCCTTCCCTGATGTCTTCATCTTTGCTTTCATGTAGATGCCAACCATTAAGTCCCTAAAAGATGATTTTTATTGGTAGCCTTAAACCATGTGCCTTTGGGATTGCAGGACAGCTTCTTTACACTAGACTACTAGAGCTCCCCCCAAGTCAGCCAATCTGTTATTAA